TGCAGAACTTAGCCTGTAATTGTATGCTCCGCAATGAGACATACCTACAATAATCTGACAAAATGAAAGCAACACGTGTCATATCAGCTCCAAATAAATATCCGGTCTCCTCTACAGCAGCTGCATTGAAAGAGATCTGACATAATGGTGTTACATCAGCAGAGCTACTAATCTCAGATACTAGCGATTGCAGTACCGAGGGAGAGAACGCTGTAGCAAATGGAGGTCATTCAATATCCTCTAGCACTCTGGACAAACGTGGCATTTTGGACTGTTCAGCTAATGGCAGAATACAGTGCTGATGCTAACATTGCTACTGCAGAGCTACTCGTGCAGGTAATCTGCTCCCAACAGCTGAGCGTCTGTTCAGATGGGCCTGTTTATTGTGGTGCCTTGCAGAAGCAATGATATTTCTTGGAAGCAAAAGGCATACTCTAGGTTTTAGTGATAAAAGCAGAAGTCTCTGACGTATCAGAAGTGATATTTTTTTTTTTTAGATATTTAACCCTCTTTAGGAATATAGAATTGCTTTTTAGACCTTTTGTCTCCTCAGTATCTTATGTGACAGGTCATGCTGAAAAAAGGAGCTGCCGTGGAGGAGCTGCAGTGTTCTGGTAGGAACACAGGAGTATCACAATCCACAAAGCAAGCACACGTCTCTTTTTATGGTCCTCAGGTGGGAGAATTGCAATGAGAGGTACAATAGTTTAACTGAAATAAGAAGGATGCTGAGAGAATTTTGCTATTTCCAGTGTCACGAGGTGGCACATATGAAGAATCCTTTTCCTTGGCAACAATTCCTGAGCCATAAGGTTGAACCTGTTTACTCAGGCATAGTGCCATTCTGTCAGATGGGCGTTGATACACCAATTGTAGAGACCCTGTGTTGTACATGCATCAGGTGTAAGTGTCCCAGATAGGATTCCCAGCAAGCATTGTCCATATGTCTGTTCATTCTAATTTTATATTCCCTTGTTCCATTACTAATCTGGGTATGGGTCTGATTATGTTTCAATAACAGAGAACAGCTTTTTTCTCCTTTAATAAGACCTCTTGCCCACTTGCATAACATAGATTGGAGTAATGGTTTAGGAGAAGTTTTTGGAAGACAAACTTTCCTCCCTGGCCTTACCAGACCCCCTCCTTCTGCATTCAGAGAAATTAGAGCTTTATGAATCTTTTTGCTTTCTGAGCAAAGTCCCTGTAGAATCCATCAGAGTAAATCTTTGGCACCAAGCTAGATTTCATATGCACAGCAGAGTGGCAATCTGTGTTCAGTCACTCTCTGCACTATTTTGCAGGATGTTTTGCTTGAACTGGTACAAAGCATTGAGGTTTTCAGGGTTCAAGAAAGAGCATGGCACTGGGGATTGTCTCCCTAGCTGCTCTCTCAGAACAAGCACCTGCCTTTACTCTTGATTTCCTCAGTGGCCTCAGTTTTCTGTAAATCAGCAGTACTTCCAGCATTGCTCTTGCCCTATCTTAGATATTTTTTTATTGCTATGGTACAACATCTTGTTTTGCTTATTGTACTCCTTTTTATGTGTTTCATTTTCTGTGTATTGAAGAGATATGGATTGGTATCTGTGGACTGTGCAGAGTGATGCCAGGTCATGCACTTCTGTGATAGCTGAAGCAACTGCACAGACATCCAATTATTTAGTGCCAAGCTTTGATAATCTAATTTTCTTGCTCATCTCATGCAGTCTGTTCCATACTAATGCAGCAGATTTGAAAAAAATATTAGAAAAATCTTAGTTTTCCTGATATTCCTTTTGGAATTAGCTTTGCTAAGTGTTGGGGCAACACACTGAAGTAGAGCTGCAGAGCCAGCATCTTTTGGTTTTGGTTTAATTTAAACTCTGAAAAATGGATTCTATTTTTCTTCTGAACCTGGTATGTATCATTTAGATTGACCACAGAATGGGCAAAAGCAACACGTTTTTCAATTGTATATGTTTCTATGAATGCTTACAGTAAGCAGTTGCATTTGAAAATACCCATTCTCCCTGAAGTCTGCTTAACTTGCCTCTATCTACATACATACTTTTTTTCACCCACTTTTAAAATGCAGCTGCCTCTGGTTGGCTGAACCAGCTTTAACTGTGTGTATTACTACAAGGTCCACTTTAATGCAATGTAGTTTTCTGGGAAATTTTAAGCAGAAGAATGATTGCTGTGCTTTGTTGAGACTCACTTACTAGTATCCTTTCCTATTACTGAAGCATCCTGAAGTGTTTAAGGACTTCTGTTGCAGAGCATAGAGGCATAAAAGCAACCTGCATAAACCAGTGCTAAGATCCAAAAAACTGCAGTTCAGAGTGGATATGAATATTTTGCTGCTCAGATATTGAGATTGTGGGTTGGGATTTGCCATTTTCCAAATGTTTGTATAGTGCAGTCCAGCACAACAAAACCATGCACAGTTTGAGTTCTCTAGGCAATGATATAAAAGCTAAAACAATGCAGATAATATATCTACAAGCTGTAAAGTGTGCACAGTTGAACAGTCCTTTCAGTCTAACATGTCACCATTCAACTAATGGAACAAGCACCAGTACTGCAAGGAGAAATCTGTGTCCACCCATACCCCATTCCACTAGCGTGTCTTGATTTCTGGTGAAGCAGTGTTGGTCCTTCTGTCAGTGTGTTTAATTAATTTCAGCTTTACTTTTGTTTCTGCAATTTGCAGTCCGTTAAATCATAAATATTGTTTTGTGAGTGATAGAACAGTATGTAATGGTCCTCATCTTGTATCCTTCTTAGTCTAAATGTCACATTGTCTTTGTAATTTTTAATGACAATAACGATTTTTATTGTATTGCTGGAACTTTTCCCCAGGTAATTGTGTCTTTTGTATATAATATGTGAACTAGAAATGAAACTGCAGCAGAAAGCTGCTAAATATAGCATCTTCTGTAGCTCTGTGTTTGTGTTAAGAAATTCTTGGACCTCATGCAAGAGATTGAAAGTATCTCATAAACCAAAACCAATACAAAATTTAAGTTAATTATACACGAGGTAGCTGAGCTTCCTGTAGCTCAGTGAAAGAGATGCTCTAAATATGAAAATACCAAGCAAAATAGAAGTGAAGGTGGAACATATTTGCATTATCAGCTCTGATCTGCTATCTTATGGAAATCAACTGCACGTTTGTCTTGCTGTGTGTCTGTATGCCCTTTGAAAGTATTTCCAATTAACTGAGGTTTTACATTTTGACCGCAAAATTTGCTCCGGTTCTCATTTCCTTCAAGACAAAGAGAAGTAATGACCTTATAAGTAGCAAACTGACTGATCAAGACCTTTCTGCTCTTGGCTTTTCAGGAATTTAGAGAAGTCATTTAATCAACAAGCTCATCAGGGTCAAACCTTATGCAAAGCTGAGAGTTTTATTCTTACAGCCTTCAGAATACTGGGCGAAGGAACTTTTCCTTGTGTAACTGCCCTGTGCTATCAAGTGCAACTGTAACAGAGTTGCATGGCGTATATGTACCAGAAGCAAGTATCTTGCCTAGCTACCAGGATAAGTAGCAAGTGCTACATTGCAGGCAGAGAAGGTAGCAGAAAAAATGTATTCCTGCCTCAGCATTATAGCGTAAGCCGATATTTGTAAAGCTATGGGCTATGCACTTCTGTTCCAGTTCTTTGATCTCGGATCACATGGGATGAGAAGAGAAGCACTTACAGACATAGCTGTTGCCTGTAGTCACTCTGTCACTCCTTCCCATGCAAAGTGAGAGGTTATCAGAGAACTGGGAAAAGGAAAGGGAGAAACCACTTTCCAGTCCACCAACTTGGACTCGGATATTCACTACTGTAGATGAGTGCATTCTTTTTCTTTGCATTTTTATCCCATACTGAATTTATGGGTGGCACAGAAACCATCAATAGTGCTATAGATCTTCAGTGTCTACCTGAATTTGTGAGTTTAGTGATCAGTTGTTCAGAAGCTCAGTATGTTTTACTGTGTGAGAAACAGGGACAAGGTCCTCTAATATACAGATGCTTAGCATAACTCAATAAATTGTATAAACATCACTTGGGAACTTGAGAAATGGCTCTTCTGTAGTAGATGATGCCCTGTTTAGAGTTTCCAAAGTTCATGTAATTAAATATTTCCTATGCCTTGCTTTCATTTTATGGTTTCTTTGGTTATTTCTTTCTAGCCCAACAAAATTCACCAAAAATCCATGAAGGCTGGTGGGCTTATAAAGAGGTGGTCCAGGGAAGCTTTGTTCCAGGTAAGTGTAATTCTAAAATTTTTATTAAATTATAAAATTATTATAAAGTTTTCTTAGTATTAATATAGTTGGATCTGGGGGAGATTTTTTGGTTTTGTTTTTTTTATCCATTGTGAAGATCTGAAGTACACAAGTACTCAACATCACATTGTAGTGAAGCATAGAAAGGTTTTTTGGTAATATGTTATCCAAAGACCACGGCTGTTTTCCGTGAAGGAAATCGCTTTAATGACATTCCTTTATTCTCTCAGTAAAACGAACATGATGCTACTTTGGGAATGTGTATGTTTTGTGTATAGAAAAGAGAAGGGGAGGACTGAAAAGCAGTGTTATCAATTGGATGAATTTACTTATCTGATGCAGCACTTCTAGATAATCTCATTTGTACAAATTTGAAAGTATATTAGGAAAGGAACCTAACTGAAACATGAACCTAACATGCAAGTTTCACTGATTTTTGTTTCGGAAACAAGAAACAGTGAGTGAAAAAAGATGGAATCCTAACTTCAGTAAAATTTAGGAAATGGTAAATAATCACGAGGCAGCTAAAAGGATCCCAAGCAACACCAGTTGAACTGAATAGGCAAAAGTGAAATTCAGGCTAGCAATAGCCTGTCATTGGTCAGTGTTGGTAGAGCTCCTCCAAAACATGTGTATTGGTTGTCCTGATGCTATATACTCCTCAAGTATCCTGTGGTCTGAGTAGGCCTTAGCTTGTTCTTTGTAGCTCTGGATGTCTCTAACATGTTTCAGGATTCAAGCTGCCTGAGACGCTAGCAGTTCTTAGACTGACAATTTTTTATTTGTTTTTGACGTACATTTGACACCTGATCTTTTTGGGCTTCCTTTGTGTAAATCATTCTAGTCTTTCTTTCAAGCAGAATTACTTTCTTGGGTCTTCGCTGTTCCGTTTGACTAGATGTTTCCACTTAGAAGGGGAGTCACGAAATTTTAGCAACCTCCATTTTCTGCTCAGTTGTGGAGCTGATATGACAGTATGCTCCTCATTTGGTATACACAGAAGCATTTAGTGATTATTTTGTTCAGTATGTTTTCAGTGCAGTTGAGATGAATATGCATTAATTTATGTATATTAGCTATATATTACAAGCTAAAGTAGTGCTTCAAGTTCTATTGTGAATGCGCTGTGAAAATTGCTACATCTTTTTTTCCTCAAAGTACTAGAAGATATTACTTGGCCATTGTGTGAGCTATTTCTAAGAATCTGTAGATTTGCTCTGTCATCAAATATTTTTATTATTGTGAGAACAGTTACAATCTGCCAATCATTCAAAATATCCAAAATGATGATTATCTTAATAGGAGTACTAGTGCAAATGAGACTAAATATTTCAAACCACAAGTATCTGGCACAGAAGTTCTTGTGAAAAGCACATACGAAAATCAGCATCTACAAGCCTGGAGCTTAATTACATCTTGACGTAACATAAAGTAGCTTTTCAGATTTACTTGGGATTGGTTTGGGCTGTCAAAGACATTGCAGTGTATTGTTATGCATGTTTAGTTCCTAACATTAACGGATGGGGAAGAAACCTGGAGAACATAATCACCTGCTTTCAAGAAGAAATTTCAGCCTTCCTGGTCTGCGTGAACCAGGTGGATGCCCAGTAGAAGATGAATAAAAAAAAAATTTGCTTAACATAACTTCTAATTATTTCAGCTTAAAGTTACTGAGAAAATAATTTAATTGTGAGCATGTAAAGGAACGCGTGTGCTCACCTAATGCTTGTGTTATTCTAATTGTAATATCATGCGAAACTGGGGCTTGGGAACATCCCTAGAAGCTTAAGGAGGAAACAGTCACAACCCAAACTTTCAAGATGGAAGGCCTTTCTAGATTAGTGTGGAGAGAGACCTGCTTTCTGAGAGAACCCTGAATTACCAATTCATGTTGCATATTGGACTAAGCTAGTACACGCCCTCAAGAGTTGGCCCAGAAGAACAATTATGAACAGCTCACTGAAGCAGCCATGAAGAAGGTAAGGGTAATTTGGGGGCACCTTTCTTGCAGACTGTCATTTTTCTCTCAGATTCAGCTCCGCAACCTGTAAGCCTCAGCAGAAGAGAGAAATCCCATGAATTTTTACAGAACAAACAACTAATTTTTTTAAGCAGCACCTAGATTTTGGAGACTTTGAAAACCATATTTAAAGCATTTCAAGCATGCATTTTATGATTATGATCTCAGACTAACACATCATAAAGGATATATTAGTGCATATTAAGTTTATCCATAATGTTAGCAGTCACATATCAGATCTCGCATGAGATGCTAATTAGCACCTGAGAGGTGATAGCTGCAAGGCAGTTTGAGGAGCTATAGCTGAAGTTGCTGACTGATGTGCACTGAAGCAAACAGCTATAGCCATCTGCAAAGATGTTTCATTTCCACAGCTGTTTGTCCTGTCCCGGGGCTGGAAGTTACCACCCCAAAAAATATTAGAAAGGAATATTTTTCCAAGACTCTGTCACTGCAGTCCAAAACTGGCGTCTAAGCTAATATGATTGACATGAATACTGCTCTTTAGCTGCTTGAGGGAGCAATCACAAGCACAGAGGTGACTAATTGGGGGTAACAGCATTGTAAAACACTCAAAGATGAGTTGCTAGAGTTTGTCTGTCACAGCTTTGGCTGTGTGAATACTTTTCACCTACTTCAAAGTGAAGTCACTGTCCTTCTGTGAACTATCACTTCTTTCCTGTATAGTTGTGTAAGAATGCATTTAGGAGTGTATCACAATATGCCTAGGTTAGAATTTGCTATTCATAAGTTTTTCTGCTTAATACTCTGTTTTGGATGCGTGTAAGTCAAGTCCTAATTAATGCTCTGGATACTGCGCAAATTTATCTTTGAGCAGCTCATAAAATCAAACCATACTTTACTACGTTCCCCAAATCCCAGACTCCCTTTGCTTTGGGACGGATTTTAGAGAAGTTATTATAAATCCCTTTCTAATGTAATATGTTCACCTGGACACAGGTTTTTTTCCCAGATTCTGGGTTTCACAACTTAAATCACATGTTGTAAACCAGTGGCTTACAATCACTGATGTGTATCTCGCAGGTAGGAGAGGTTATAGACAGAGATGAGGTGCAGGGCCCATCACACCATCTTTCCCAACTTCGCTTCTTGCACTGCTCAACAGAGAAGAGAGCAACAGCAACTGAGAGGTTCTCTCACTACTGTACCTGTGCCTCAGGTCTGTCTTAGTGCCAAGCCTTGCACGTGAGGGTGCAGAGCTGTCAGATGCATCAGTGGCTGAATCTGCCTATATACTAATGATGCATAAAACACTCTCACCATTTCTAAAAGCAAAGAATTGCTCGTGTGATTTAAATCATGTAGGAAAACAAAATAGAAAGTAAGTAGTGCTTTAAAATGTTAATTGAATGCAAATTAGGTTCCAAATTAAACTTCAGGGAATGTTCAAGGATGAAGAATGAATACTTTTCTTTATGGATGTCAATTTGCATAATAATAAAATAATCTATATTATTACATACTTTCACTACATAGACTTTTTCTGGTATGGAATATAAAAGTAGTTCATGATGGGTTAAAAGACATTTAAATAACCTTTTTTATATCTTTTGTTTGGCTGAGTTTTGCTGTGACTATGAATATGTTGCATCACTGAAGTAGTGCAAGCATTTTCAAGGTGGCAAACGCAGTATTTCAAACTATTCCATACAATTTCTTTTACTTCAAGTAGATGCACATAACCTTTGATGCTCTTGTGTGTCTGATTGTATTGATTCTCTTCATATGGCTCCTGTTTTTTCGTAGCATCATAAAAGTGGGCTTTGGTAAGCATAAAATATAAAGGTAGTTAAATCTAATTTGTGATCACAGAGTTCACTTGCTGTAACTCCATCCTGTTGCTGAAACTCTGAACTATATGTTAATGTAAGGGCATAAGTGTTTTTTTGCCCAAGGAAGACAGTTTCTTCATGACCCTCACTGTATTATACCATGTCTAAAGTTACTTCACAACGTGATAGGGCTAATCTTAGCTAAAAGGAGGAAGTTCATCTCTACCAAATAACGAGTGAACTTTGCTGACAGAGCAGGTAATGTTCTCCTTCCTTGTAATAAAGGCTGTAAAACAACTTCAATTCCAGATAAAGATCTACATCCATTATGATTCGTTATTGGCTACAGATCATCAAACCAAAGGCTTCCCATTTCCCTGAGATGAGAATTCCCCTGTTCTTAGTTCCTTTCACAACTCATTTTACCGTAGAAGGGAAAAGGCTGCTAGAGATAGATAATACTTTTCCTGCCTTCTGCAAGGATCATTTTGATGGGATTATGCCCTAACGTAAACCTGCTGACAAAGCTGCACTGGCTTAGAAGGAACACAGAGGCAGTGTTTGTGAAGCACAGAGAAACTCCCTCCAAGGACGAAATGCATGAATTTGATAACAATTTACAAGGAAAAAGAAGCCTAAAACAATTTACAATCTTGGTCCTGAGTGCCAAAACTTGAGTTTAAACTTCCTGCTGTCACCATGTGCTTTTGTTATGGCCACACAGGCAGTTCAAGTGTTCTTAGTTTTTCCTGTGTGGGCTTTAAGATTTCTTTTAAACTGTAAATTTCTTTATGTACATGTCCAAAAATAACCTTTGATGGGCAGGTCACTGTAAGAACCATGAACTGTTTGTCCATGGCCAGAAACTGAGAGGTATGAAACTTCAAACCCATACACATCTTGAACTTTCTGAAAAGCTTGTGTATTATGCCATCCTCCAATTACATAGAAGTCTATTTCATACATTGAAGCAAGCAATCACTTAGCTTGGCTGCCTAAATAATACAATACATAAACCTGCTGATTGCTCCTCCTTCATTTCTTCCTTGTGGTCTTATTTTGGGGCTTCAGGAGGCTGCAGCATCACTCACCATCTGATACATTTTGCTTGTCAGTGAAAACAGTGGTGCTGTCTGAGCTACAGTAGTGTTTTAAACAGGCTGTAC